ACCTTGATTATGAAGCCTGAAGACTTTAGTTTAAGAATTTTTTGTTAAAAAATTTTTTTGAGCCCCAGTAGCCATGAAATTCTTGGATAAAGCACGAAAAAAATATTTTCAAAATGTTTTTCATTTTTGTTTTCGCTCTACGGGCATGACGGTAACGTAAAAAAACAGCAAAAAAATGCCACTTTCTCCTTATTTGGTTAATCGACTGTGTCTTCGACAATATTGGGGCAAAAGCTTAGGTTAGAAGAAAGTTTTATAGTCGAATGTACCCCCAAGACCCCCTTAAATTTTTAGACCGATCGGTTCAGCGGATTACCCGGACCGATTGATTGAAATTTTGAAAAAATTAAGGGAACAAGATTTTGTTTCTTAAATTTGACCTTATCTTTTTCAAATTCAATAATTTAATTTTTTTTCGACTTTTTACTCAATTTTGAGATTTTTGAAGATTGAGTATCAAAAAAAAAATCCAAAAATTTTTTTTTCAAAAATTCGAAATTTTCGAAATTTTTTTTTGAAAATTTAAAAAAAACTTGAAAAAAAATTTATTTCGTTTTTAAGAAATACAAAGTTTTTGACAAACATTTTGATTGATGATTGATTCACCGCAATCGGCGGCCGAATATGTCCCAGACGTGCTCTATGGAATTCAGGTCAGGACTCATTGCAGGATGCCTCAATAATATAATGTTGTTTCTCTGAAAAAATCGGCGTGTAATATTGGCTGTATGAGGCTTAGCATTATCTTGCATAAAAATAAATCGTCTCCTGTTTCTTGCTAGATGTAACACGTGAGGTCGCAATATTCGGTCGATATAGAGCCTAGCATTGAGATTGTCTCGAACAATTACTAAAGGAGTTCGGGAATTCCGTGAAATTGCAGCCCAAACCATCACCGAACCTCCACCGTAAGCAACTACGGGACGAATGAAACGTTGTTCATAACGTTGACCTGTACGACGCCAAGTTCGAGGTCGAGAAAAAAACGTTGTTCCAATTTCTCATTTGCCAGTTCACATGGTCGCGAGCATACTGCAGACGAGCTCTACGATGTGCAACGGTCAACATCGGTCCACGAGAAGCAGTTCTAGCACAGAGTTCAGATTCGCGAAGACGATTTCTGACTGTTGATCGAGAAATGTTTCGCGGCTATCGTTGTCGTTGTTGTTGACGGTTTGGGAAGTTTCGAGCGATGACGTTGGCTGGAGCAAAAGGGTCTTGGATAGCCTGTCGAATGATTGCTCGGTCATCTCGACGAGTCGTTGCTCGATGGCGACCTTGCCCAGCACGTCGTTCATATCCGTTTGTTTCCAGAAATCGGTTGTAAGCACGAGACACAACCGAAGCACTTACACCGAGTTGTTCACCTACCTGCCGATATCTGTACCCCTCCAGAACAAGAGTCACAAGCCGAGCGACTTCTGGGGCAGATAAATGTCGCCTGGGATGCATTATGGCACGGATCAAATTTTAAAATCTGCTATCAGTAATTTCTTCTTTAAAAATATCGAAAAAGGGTTAGTTTTGAAAAAAACTGTTTTGTAACGCGTAATGGCACGTAAAAAAAATCGCTGAGAAAATAATCGTTCTTGCAGTGCCAAAATATCGAAAAAGAGTTAGTTTTGAAAAAAACTGTTTTGTAACGCGTAATGGCACGTAAAAAAAATAGCTGAGAAAATAATCGTTCTTTCTCAAAAGAAGCGTAAATCCGACCGTGCAACCTCCACGTGGTATGCTTTGGATAACGCTAATGCTGGCGATCAATCAATCATCAATCAAAACGTTTGTCAAAAACTTTGTATTTCTTAAAAAAGTTTTGGATTTTTTTTCAAGTTTTTTTAAATTTTCAAAAAAAAAATTTCGAAGTACAATATGTAGCCGAGGAGTTCCGTCCATCGGTCGAGGCGTTCTAATGGTTGATTGGTAATATTGAAGCGCGGTTTCAGCAGGCATTAACCAACCCTGGCGAAATAGTAGCAGCTCAGGAGAGGAAGGATAATAATCGTTCTTGGCAGTGCCAAAAATATCGAAAGAGTTAGTTTTGAAAAAACTGTTTTGTAACGCGTAATGGCACGTAAAAAAAATCGCTGAGAAAATCTCTCAAAAAGAAGCGTAAATCCGACCGTGCAACCTCCACGTGGTATGCTTTGGATAACGCTAATGCTGGCGATCAATCAATCATCAATAAAAACGTTTGTCAAAAACTTTGTATTCTTAAAAACGAAATAAATTTTTTCAATTTTTTTTAAATTTTCAAAAAAAATTTCGAATTTCGAATTTTGAAAAATTTTGATTTTTTTTATACTCAATCTTCAAAATCTCAAATTGAGTAAAAAGTCGAAAAAAAATTAAAATTGAATTTGAAAAAGATTAGGTCAAATTTAAGAAACAAATCTTGTTCCTTAATTTTTTCAAAATTTCAACAATCGGTCCGGGTAAACCGCTGAACCGATCGGTCTAAATTTAAGGGGTCTTGGGGTACATTAGACTATAAAACTTTCTTCTAACCTAAGCTTTTGCCCAATATTGTCGAAGACACAGTCGATTAATCAAATAAGGAGAAAATGGCATTTTTTTTGCTGTTTTTACGTTACCGTTTCAGGTGGAAACAAATTTTTTTTCAATCAACCATAACAGATTTTTGTAGGAAATTTTGTAAAGAAAACGAAACCGCCCGTCTACTTGCCAGGCGACCAGTAGTTTCAGAGATATCGGCAGTTGAGTGAAAAAGGATCCTTTTGCATTCAAAATTCGATATCTCGAAGACAAATGGTCGTATCTGACTTCTGCAAAAATCAAATTGAAGCTGAATTAACCAGCTATGCGACCTATACATTGGTTTAGCTCGAAAAATTTGTTTCATGCCCGTAGAGCGAAAACAAAAATGAAAACATTTTGAAAATATTTTTTCGTGCTTTATCCAAGAATTTCATGCTACTGGGGCTCAAAAAATTTTTAACCAAAAAATTCTTAAACTAGAGTCTTCAGGCTTCAAAATCAAGGTTTTTTATTTCCTGTACGACCATTTTTCACTGAAATGCAGCCTGTTGAAAATTGGCAAAAAATTTGCAAAATTTTTTTGTTACTTCAATTTATGCGAGAAGTATATAATACTTCTTATAAAATTCAGTATCATTATAAGAGCTAAAACCTAATAGAAAATTAGATTATATATTCCGGGTGACATTTACAGCTGCATTTGAATTATTCCTTTGATAAAAAGAAAAAGGCGATTATTGAAGCCAACTAATTATTTAACCACATATTATATTATTACTAATAAAATTCAAGTTGCCAATAATTTCAACAAATTGACATGTTTTATGAAGTTTAGTTTAGATTCGAAGTTTTTATTAAGTCAAGTAGATTTCCTAATAATTTTCGATACGGTTATAGAACGAGCCAAATATATATTTAATGTATATTTTTAGGGTGAATTTCCATACCCTAGCACTTCTTCATGGACTAATTCTGAGTTGGGTATACCAGCGGCGAAAGAATAAAGGTAACTTTTATAATATATGTATATATATATATATATATATGAAGCAAAAAATAAGTTTTTAATTCCTTTGTATTTCAGGAGAGAGTATTCATACTTCAGAAGTGTTGTTAAGCTGAATATTACAGTTAGATGGAATGTAAAATTAAAAATGTATAAAATTTCAAAAATAACGAACCAATTCTTTTATTTTCTTAGTCACCTTATACGTAGCCAAGACTTGAATGGTTACGGCTAAATAATGCCCGGTTGACATCTTTTATATTACACTAAAAGTTTGTTTTCTTAACAATTACGGTGTACTGTTTGTCGGAATAATTATACAAATAGTAGGGTAGCTAAAATTTCTAAATGCGTTTTTGCTCTAGCGCTTTGAAGACCTATTGGATCGCGAAAATTACAGAATGAAAAGGAAAAAGGTTTATAAGTAAGTATAATGTATACCTTTATAGTGGTAGAAGCGTCTATGAATTTTCCAAAATGTAAATAAAGTAGTTACAAGAAATGCTGTATCGTGACAGTGTTCGATAACGTTTACGCTCCACGAACTCCTTTCGACAGAGGCTGTGTTCCAACGGTAGGAAAGTAAGAAAAATAAAACTTCTGAAGGGTGAAAGTTAAATTTTAACAATTTCCGTAGCAAATCAGAACGTCAAATTTTTACCATGCTCAAAAGCTGGGTAAATTTTTCAACTTATAAATTATAATTCAGATATGCATTCATGAATAAACGAATTTAAATGAACCACCGCAAAGAAGTATTTTAAGTAAACATTAAGCGACGAATTAAATTATACCTAGCATGTAAATCAGTAGATATAATAATATTATAATAAAACCAAATAATAAAAGGCCAATTTCGAGTTAACCGAACATTTTATACTCTCTCAATTTGGATAGGCGGGGAAATTTTCAGGTTTGCGAAACTTTAAAAAATGTTGCGAAAGAATTCATTATTTGACGTAAGTCTGAAAGTTTTACAATCATGTTTGGTATCTTATTAACTTCTAAGATTATAGGCCGTAGACTAACTTAGTTTCAACATTCTATTTTTCTTGTCGAAATATTTATATTAAAATTAAACTAATTAACTGAAATGAGATATATGTGATATAAACTCAACCGAAGAGGCTAAATTAAATATATTGGGTATATGAGAAAACACCAACATGAGATTTTTTAAAAAATATATTCGGTAAAAATTTTGCAATATACACTTGGGTCCAAATGTTCGGTATCTGGGTGCTTTCTAAATATTATGCTTCTCGCATATTTAACAAATCCATAATCTGTTATGCATCATTAGCAAATAAAAAACGCAACAAAAGTTTTGACTGCGTTCTTATATAGAGGAGGAATTGTGAGGGAAATTTGTAGTAATAATTAATTTTGTATTCGTTATAACTAATTATTTGTTTTTTTTAGCGTAAAACTTAGCGTAGTTCAATACTTCTAAACCATTTTTTCACTTTTATGACTCTTATTTCTTTTACCAAAAACCGATTTCTTTGACTTCTTTTGTTCGTATTTATCAAAAGATTGTGACCTTCCTTTTCCAACGGACGGAATGTCTGCATTTATATACGTTAAAATTTTCATATTTTTAAGTGCAATATTGCAACACACTATCAGCTAAGCATCAGCAATAGACTATCAGCCCTACAAGGCAGAGGTAACCAATGCACTCCTACACTTGTAAAACTCTTACATCACTAAATACTGAAAACTAACGTTGTAAGAGTAGCAACATTCATCATGCATAATTTTTGTATGCGTAGAAATAAGACGCACATACAGATATACCATTTTCCATCAACAATAGCCGGCATTATTTGGAAAAATTGTTTGAGGTAAGCACTTTTTATGTTCTTGAATTGTATGTTGTTTCTAAAGAAGTAATTAAATATAATTGCATAGGACGGAGGAAAACTCTCAATGCGCTGCCCGAGCTGGAAATCGAGTGGGATCTATTTTGTCGCGATCGTGAAGCGTTGCGTGATATTTTTCTCAATGGTGATTTCAAGACAGGTTGTCTTATATTCTGCTTTAAGGTTGGAAAGACCAATTACTTACATTAGCTTGCTACCTCTAGGCTGTATTGCCTTGCAATTTGCAGCGCATGATTTGGAATGTGCGATAGATTTTCCACTTCAATAAGCGCATGCCCACAAATCTGTCGCCGCCGCGCGTAATTAGCGACATAGGCGATCTCTTGCAGAGCTGTGTCATCTTGTCCAGCTGTGTCATCTTGTCCAATGAGAACGTCACACTGTTGTTTCAGTGTTTAGTTGGCTCGATGCTTTGCACGAAGTACAATATGTAGCCGAGGAGTTCCGTCCATCGGTCGAGGCGTTCTAATGGTTGATTGGTAATATTGAAACGCGGTTTCAGCAGGCATTAACCAACCCTGGCGGAATAGTAGCAGCTCCGGTCGCGCAAAGTTTGCATGAACCTGCTAGATAGGTATGCATGGCTGCCCAAATCTTAAATTAACTAATTCATTTACATTGTGTATTTTGTATGGTTTTAAGATAACACACAACACTTTTCATTTACTGGTGTGTCGCCAAATAACGTAGCATTGAAACTAAAACACCCTCTCTAACAGTATTCTTTACTGACTCATCTCTGGGGATCAAGAAATCGTAAATGTCTATTATCAGGTGCTCCATTTTATTAATGACAACGCTGACAAATAGGTGCTACGCATACGTATCATGAATAATGAGGAAACTAATTTCAATGACGAAGATGAAGTCAACTGCACGAGATACAACCGAAGCACTTACACCGAGTTGTTCACCTACCTGCCGATATCTGTATCCCTCCAGAACAAGAGTCACAAGCCGAGCGACTTCTGGGACAGATAAATGTCGCCTGGGAGGCATTATGGCACGGATCAAATTTTAAAATCTGCTATCAGTAATTTCTTCTTTAAAAATATCGAAAAAGGGTTAGTTTTGAAAAAAAACTGTTTTGTAACGCGTAATGGCACGTAAAAAAAATCGCTGAGAAAATAATCGTTCTTCTTCAAAAGAAGCGTAAATCCGACCGTGCAACCTCCACGTGGTATGCTTTGGATAACGCTAATGCTGGCGGTCAATCAATCATCAATAAAAACGTTTGTCAAAAACTTTGTATTTCTTAAAAACGAAATAAATTTTTCAAGTTTTTAATTTTTCAAAAAATTTCGAAAATTTCGAATTTTGAAAAAAATTTTGATTTTTTTTTATACCAATCTTCAAAATCTCAAAATTGAGTAAAAGTCGAAAAAATTAAAAATTGAATTTGAAAAGATTAGGTCAAATTAAGAAACAAAATCTTGTTCCTTAATTTTTCAAATTTCAATCAATCGGTCCGGGTAAACCGCTGAACCGATCGGTCTAAAATTTAAGGGGTCTTGGGGTACATTAGACTATAAAACTTTCTTCTAACCTAAGCTTTTGCCCCAATATTGTCGAAGACACAGTCGATTAATCAAATAAGGAGAAAATGGCATTTTTTTGCTGTTTTTTACGTTACCGTTTCAGGTGGAAACAAATTTTTTTCAATCAACCATAACAGATTTTGTAGGAAATTTTGTAAAGAAAACGAAACCGCCCGTCTACTTGCCAGGCGACCAGTAGTTTCAGAGATATCGGCAGTTGAGTGAAAAAGGATCCTTTTGCATTCAAAATTCGATATCTCGAAGACAAATGGTCGTATCTGACTTCTGCAAAAATCAAATTGAAGCTGAATTAACCAGCTATGCGACCTATACATTGTTTAGCTCGAAAATTTGTTTCATGCCGTAGAGCGAAAACAAAATGAAAAACATTTTGAAAATATTTTTCGTGCTTTATCCAAGAATTTCATGGCTACTGGGGCTCAAAAATTTTAACCAAAAAATTCTTAAACTAGAGTCTTCAGGCTTCAAAATCAAGGTTTTTTTTATTTCCTGTACGACCATTTTTCACTGAAATGCAGCCTGTTGAAAATTGGCAAAAAATTTGCAAAATTTTTTTGTTACTTCAATTTATGCGAGAAGTATATAATACTTCTTATAAAATTCAGTATCATTATAAGAGCTAAAACCTAATAGAAAATTAGATTATATATTCCGGGTGACATTTACAGCTGCATTTGAATTATTCCTTTGATAAAAAGAAAAAGGCGATTATTGAAGCCAACTAATTATTTAACCACATATTATATTATTACTAATAAAATTCAAGTTGCCAATAATTTCAACAAATTGACATGTTTTATGAAGTTTAGTTTAGATTCGAAGTTTTTATTAAGTCAAGTAGATTTCCTAATAATTTTCGATACGGTTATAGAACGAGCCAAATATATATTTAATGTATATTTTTAGGGTGAATTTCCATACCCTAGCACTTCTTCATGGACTAATTCTGAGTTGGGTATACCAGCGGCGAAAGAATAAAGGTAACTTTTATAATATATGTATATATATATATATATATGAAGCAAAAAATAAGTTTTTAATTCCTTTGTATTTCAGGAGAGAGTATTCATACTTCAGAAGTGTTGTTAAGCTGAATATTACAGTTAGATGGAATGTAAAATTAAAAATGTATAAAATTTCAAAAATAACGAACCAATTCTTTTATTTTCTTAGTCACCTTATACGTAGCCAAGACTTGAATGGTTACGGCTAAATAATGTCCGGTTGACATCTTTTATATTACACTAAAAGTTTGTTTTCTTAACAATTACGGTGTACTGTTTGTCGGAATAATTATACAAATAGTAGGGTAGCTAAAATTTCTAAATGCGTTTTTGCTCTAGCGCTTTGAAGACCTATTGGATCGCGAAAATTACAGAATGAAAAGGAAAAAGGTTTATAAGTAAGTATAATGTATACCTTTATAGTGGTAGAAGCGTCTATGAATTTTCAAAAATGTAAATAAAGTAGTTACAAGAAATGCTGTATCGTGACAGTGTTCGATAACGTTTACGCTCCACGAACTCCTTTCGACAGAGGCTGTGTTCCAACGGTAGGAAAGTAAGAAAAATAAAACTTCTGAAGGGTGAAAGTTAAATTTTAACAATTTCCGTAGCAAATCAGAACGTCAAATTTTTACCATGCTCAAAAGCTGGGTAAATTTTTCAACTTATAAATTATAATTCAGATATGCATTCATGAATAAACGAATTTAAATGAACCACCGCAAAGAAGTATTTTAAGTAAACATTAAGCGACGAATGAAATTATACCTAGCATGTAAATCAGTAGATATAATAATATTATAATAAAACCAAATAATAAAAGGCCAATTTCGAGTTAACCGAACATTTTATACTCTCGCAATTTGGATATGCGGGGAAATTTTCAGGTTTGCGAAACTTTATAAAAAAATGTTGCGAAAGAATTCATTATTTGACGTAACTCTGAAGTTTTACAATCATGTTTGG